ATTCGCTAGGCCGCCTTACCCCAAAGGGCTGCTGGGATTATCTTTTCGGTGTGACCCAGACCGCTGAAACCGCTACTCGTTCTTATGGCAGTGCTGTCGCTGTTTAGGCTGAGCTTTGACGGAGTGGCACGACAGCGTGCCCAACCGCGGAAAGTCGAATCGGCGGTTAATTCTGATTATCACCAGGCCATCAACATCTGGCACTCCTCTGGGACCGCGTCTCACATCGAGGCTCCCATCCTGCAAGGATCCCTCACGATATATCCGACGACGTTTTTTGCGTTTATGTTTGCTTCCTCCCAGTGCTCTTGTGTGTTTGTGTGTGTGTGTTCTCTGGAAATGGCTTAAACCCAGGGTTCTCTTCTAGTAGGTTCCCCCCCTGTTGTGACTTGACGACGGCCGGCGGAATTATTCTGAGATGTTTAACGAGGTCGAAGAGGGCCGGCGGGAGCGAAACGCGTGTTTTTCAAAATTTGTTGAGGATGTCTCGGGCGAAACGCTTGATTTGTGTTATAGATTGTTCCTCTCCTGGCTGGGGACCAGAATTCAGAGGATGTCTCAGGTGAAATGCTTCTTTTCACGTTCCCGGATCTTGAGGATCTTTCGAGCGAACCGCTGGGTTTCACGCCTCCAGGTTACGCAGGCAGAGGTCTAGCACCAGAATTTGTTGAGGATGTCTCGAGCGAGACGTTGATTTTCACGCGTCCAGGTCGTCCAGGCAGATGTCTAGCATGAGGATGTGTTGATGATGTTTCGAGAGAGGCTTGTTTTCGCGTGGCACGTGCCGCGGTGCGTCCCTATGGCACGTTCCCTGGCACGTGGCCTGGCGCGTCCCTTGGGACGTTCCGCGGCGCGTCCCCCTGGCATGTCCCCCTGTTAATTAGCTCTGGGGCAACAACTATGTGCTCAGGCAGCTCGAGCTTACGATCCAGATCAGTTCGATCAGGACTCGGATGCAAAGGAGGAGTCGATCCACAACGCTACAGAGCACAATCGTGGCATGGCACATCGCAATTCAGCACGGCGCAGCACAGCACAGCTCTTGGCAAGGTACAACAAGATCGATACACCCATTATTGCAACCTTGCACGTTCCTTGGCACGTTTCGTGGCGGGTCCCGTAGCGAGTCCATCTGGCGCGTCGCGCGGCGCCTTCCCTGGCACGTCCCGTGGCACGTACATTGGCACGTTCCGTAGCGCGTCCCCTTGGCACGTGCCGCGGTGCGTTCCAATGGCACGTCCCCTGGCACGTGGCTTGGCGCGTCCCTTGGGACGTTCCGCGGCGCGTCCCCCCGGCATGTCCCCCTGTTAATTAGCTCTGGGGCAACTACTATGTCCTCAGGCAGCTCGAGCTTAAGATCCAGATCATTTCGGTCAGCACTCGGATGCAAAGGAGGAGTCGATCCAGAACGCTATAGAGCACAATCGCGCCATGGCACATCGCAATTCAGCACGGTGCAGCACAGCACAGCCTTTGACACAGGACATCAAGATCGATACACTCAGAATTGCAATTGCCCGTCGCCCAATCAGGTGTCTTCGGGACGTTGCCATGGCTCACATGTCTATACTCCTTTCCAGGTTCGTGGGTCGATCATGTTCTTTTTTCCCCCCGCGCTTACGCCGATGTCAATCCTCTTGTTCAACTCGCCCATCTTCGACTCCGCTTCGTTCGTAGATCTTTTGGCCAAGTCCACCCATGGTCCAGTAGTGTCGTTCAAAGTGGTTTCTGCCTGGACCCGTCTCCTCCCCCTCCCCAGGTTCATGCGATTCATCCGTCTCTGGCAACGGTGCCGTATGCTTTTCCGTGGACCCGTCGCTATCTACCCAAGTGGCTGCCCCGTTAGGGATGAGGAGGAAGAGGAGGAGGAGGAGGAGGAGGAGGAGGGGAGGAGGAGGAGGAGGAGGAGGAGGAGGAGTCTCCGAAAATGTGGAGGAGGAGTATACTATTGATGTCAAGGGTGATGAGGAGCATGGCTATGACGACGAGTATGATGATTTGAGGGTGGGGAGGAATCTCAGGGGGGGGGGGGGCGTGATGAGGACGATCATGAGGTGGAGAGGATGCTGAGAACTTGGACGGGCAGGCGGAGTGAGGCGATGAGGAGGAGGGGGAGGGGAATGGAGGAGGGAGAGATGGCATGAGAGGAGAAGAGGGGCCACGCAGGTCATTGGAGGATCGGACATGGAAGGTTGGAGGCGCCAGCGCAGGAGAGCAGGCGAGGGGCTCCAACTTGAAGAGGTCTAGAGAGGAGAGGGTAAAAAGGGGAGAAGATGGGCTTTGGGCATGGGGGCGACGAGAGACGAAACGAAGGACAGGGTTCAGGCCAGATGAGGGGAGATGCGAGGATAGGCCAGGAGGGCTGCAGGGCCGAGCATCGAGAATACAGTTAATTTGATGTGTTGGTTCGGTTTCGGCCTCCAGGGGCATCTGGAGACCTCCAAAGGAGGACAGAAGGAGGATGGTAGAGGCGAGGATGGGCTAGGGCTTGATCGGAGAGGGTTTGCCTGTAAGTTGTTCAAGCGGTGTAAGCAGGTATTCAGAGTGTACCCCCCGTGAGGACATGGGCCCCACGGGCCCTGCGGTGCTGCCACGCAGCCTTCCATATCAGCAGTATGCCAGTCAGTTCCAGCCCCCATGTGTCCAACAGGCGGCCGGCGGAGGTCCAGAGGAAACGAGGATCGGCACCCCAAGAGATGGCAACCTTTTGGGGCTCACGGTTTTCAGAATCGGCCATGCGTTTTGACACTTTGGCTCCAGGTATGTGGCGTGGGTTGCAAGAGAGCTCCACGGGATCTGAACGGCGGTGCCTTCTGCCGCCCCGGCCCGAAAGAATGGGGCCATCTCGAGGCTGCGCGGGGCCAGCCTTTCATGCCGTGGGCTCGGGGGCCG